TAATATCAGCTAAATATCAGTTGCTGGTGCAAACTTTGCTGTTATTGATAAAAGCAAGCTATTGAAGATAAAATACCTTTGTCGACATCCAACTTTATTAGTTAGGATTGGAAGTATACTTGACACGAACAGTTAAGTAAGTGGCAGCTATTCGTCACTATCTTAGCGTAACCGAGCATTACATTCGCAATTGTTTTTAGGACGCTGCCAGTTGCCACTTTACTCTTACAAGAAATATGTTTTGCTGCAGCACCTAAATTTTAGCAGTTAATAAATTGAACTTTGATAGCAATGATATTAGTTGTCCCTATTATAAGGACACGTTTTAACTTCCACAGCTTTATTTTAGCTATAATACGTTGACTGAAATCTTTTCCCTGCGTGTGTCATCTGTATGATTAGATGCAATATATCTAATATCACAATATTTGCTAGAAATCTATCTAATTTTTCGTACTTAGGTAATTTTCGTTATAACTGCAAGAGCATTTTGTTGAGTGCTGGATTTAGACTTAGAGATCTAATTTTGTTTGATTATCAAAGTTTTTTAGGGGGAAAATCAAACGTAACGAGCAACACAACGAAAAGTTTCGACATTCTAGTAATCAGTTGGAGTCCTACGGGATTATTTTGATGATCTAACAGGACTTGTTTTCGAATCTGTATCTAACTATGTTTTTGGATCTTTCAGCACAATTATTCCCTCCGCGCAAAACCGTTCATATTAGTCACACTCCGAACAGCAAACTGATAAAAAAACCTGAGAAGTTAACGCTATCATATTTTCGACTCACACAATTTGAATTTTACCTTTGAATTTGCCATAGAAAACATATATTTTAACTTATTTTTATTCTACATTTTCATAACAAAATTAACATTTAAAAACGCAATTGGCAAATTCGCATCAGTGTGGAAGTTACGGATGTGCGGTTGAGATGTGGGAATTTCAAGGTTAATTTTTTGATAATCGTACCTTAATACTTTGATGAACAGAATAATAAGATAAATCAATTAGTAAAAAAAAGCACATAGCTTATTTAAAAACACAATGTTTATTTAAAAAATTATTCTTAATATTTTTTTAAAGTAACTATGTATTTTCTTTCCATCAATTGATTTATTTCATTATTCTGTTCATGAAAGTATTAAGTACGATTATCAAAAAATTAATAATTTACGAGTTATTTAATATTTTATGTCAATATATGACAGAATAAGGTATAAAATATCTTGTAAATTATTGTTTTTTTATATCACTATCATAATACTTTTATATTCAGAATAATTAGAGGAATCATATTGTGTAAAAAAAAATAACACAATTCCAATTAAAAAGATGACCTTAAAGTCTAAAAAAATATGACTTTGAGAAAAATTTTTTGCTCATTATAATATTTGCCTCTTCGAATCGGACAACTTTCTCCTATGGTATTTTCTAATATCATTAAATACAACGAAAACATTTTAGATGATTAAGTTAGAGAAAACACTCTGTATACGATAGGCATATATTATATTATACATATATTCTATATGTAAAACAATATATACACATACAGAATCTCATTTGAAGCTTCGGATGCAATTATCTCCCAAACTATTCGCTGATTCCATTTAGAAAAATAAAGGTCATTTTGAAATCTTGCACGTTTACTTAGCAAGGGTTTGTGATCATCAAAAGATATCCCCCTCGTAACAAATTAAGTTCTACTTGAAATACTTTTTGGAATAACGAATAGGTTGGGAAATAATTGCGTCCGAAGCTTCAAATGTGACTTGCGTACGTGCGTGCGTGCTACTTTTATTATATACTTTCTGATGTTCATGCAGATTTCGGAAAATATCGTGATAAAAAATGTATATAAACGTATATAAATATATAAAAAACGTATATAAACGAAAAAAACATAAAAAAGAGGAACAATACATAGATCAACACAATAGAGGCAATTTTGTTAGAGGTTGTAGTTATTATTTTTCAAAAACGATAGTAAACAAGCCATCAATTAATTTTCAAAACAATGAATCTAACATGAATCTATCCGCTTCATTACAAATTCGGAAGGACCGATTACCTGAGAAAGTAATCGTTAACGAAATCGGGATGCTCGTCAAGCCAAGCCTCCATACGGGCGTATTCTGGATCGTACGCTGTCCAAGTCGATGTTGAGGAATAATAAACGCCGCCGCCACCGCTGCCACTGTTTCCATCCTGCACCTGTTGCAGCATACTTTGACTCGCTACGCCGCTCTGGACGCCCTGTATTCCTTGTACGCAAGGACCCGCCGTCTCCGCCGTCATCCTCGGTTCCTCGATGCTCCGTAAGTGCAGGCCTGCATTTTTACCATATTTTATTTGTTAATTATGCGAATTTAATAATCTTAATAAACATAGTGAATCAGTCAAATAAAATCACATTTCTCAAGAAATTGTGACTGTGCAAAAGAAGCAATGAGTGTCACAGTGGAAATTTTCATAATGTCATGTTCTAAATCGTAGAGGTGTGCGAATTAATTCGAATTCGAATCGAATCACAGTGGATTCGATTCGTTTTCGGATCTAAAAGATTCGAAATCGATAAGTTCAAAATTTCGGAACATCAATGGTTAGATTTTAAATCACTCGTTTATTGCTCTCTCTTCCCTGTATCTCCTGTTATCAATCTTGTATCAGCGCATATTAATCTTCGTGCATGCGCGTGCGCTTATTCATCGCATCAGTTATCATTGGACTTTATTAGATATTTTCAATATGATTGGAAACAAGACCGTCTATATAAATATTACAACTTTAAATACAAAGCGCCTTCCCGGTCCGAGTGTTAAGATGTTGAATTACTATCTAATATACATTCAATTAAATTAAATTAATATTTCAGAAATATTAATATAATTCAGAAATATTAATATAATTTCATCTCAATTTATTTCTGAAATATTAATTTAATTTAATTGAATGTATATTAGATAGTAGTTCAACATCTTAACACTCGGACCGGGAAGGCGCTTTGTATTTAAAGTTGTATATATTTTCATCTTTTTGATATAACTGCGCAGTCTATGGCCATGTTTCGATATACAGCAAAGACATAGAAGAACGGACTGCGCGATCCATGTGTCAAAATGGTTGATAAAAGTAAGAGAGAGGAATCGTGCAAGACAGCCATTTCTATCTTTTTCCATTCAATGATGTAATAAGAGAGAGAATGAGAGAGAGATTGATTTTAAAAATTAATTAAAAAAATAATGAACTATGAAATATTTTCAATGATGGTTCGGATCTTTTTAGATAAACGTAAAAATGAGTCATTTTCAACATACAGATATTATCAAAAAATATTGTTTTTAATATATTTATAACATATTATTAATTTTTTATATTTTTACATTCAAAATAAATTTTTTTAGCTTTTAATTTTTTTAGCTGATGTCAGTATGTAAAAATTTGTTTTAATTTGATTCGTTTTCAAATCAAAAGGATTCGATTCGACTTTGTAAATGCTTGATTCGCACTCTACTAAATCTACTAAATTTGAATATCTTCGTAATCAAGTTATTATTTACTGTATTTATTCAATAAATTGAAATTTTCCGACAAGCAAGTTTCATAGATATATTGTATATCAAAGATTAACATTTTTTTTGTTTTTTACTCAATATTATCTGTGTTCCAACAAGAATAACAAATGCAGAACGTGTGGGTAAAGGCATTAGTAATTCATGTAAATATAATTACTTATTTATTTTATTTTGAATATAATTTGTCTATCTAAAATTAGCTGCTACAATTTATTATAACGGATAAAGCTCTGTACGCTAAGATAATTAACTTCTTAAAAAGGCAAAGAGAAATATTTTTAAAAATTCTATATTATTTTTCGTAAATTTTAATAAATAAACATTTTAAATAATTGTTAACAAAACACATAAACAATATTATTTACTATATTTGTAAATAACTAATAACACTTAAACATAACATTACATATGAGATCACAACAAAAATTATATTAAGTTACGAAATCACATTTTATTTTTTAAAATTATACTTTTCTACCGAGTGTATATTACGAATAAAGTATCTGGGTTTTTAAATAAAAGATTATAAAATTCTTCATATACATATTAATAGAAAATTATATATCACATTTATTATTTTCACTTATTATTTCACATTTATTACATTTAAACATTTATTATTTTTACACTAAAAGAAGAATAATTTAAAATCATATCTTTAATTTGGGACAAAATTTGAGACGCGTTGTAAAGTGGAACAAAGAGTTAAAACTTGGAATCCTTCTAATATTTTAAGCGTACTTTTATTTTAAGCGTATAGTCGGAGCCTAAAAGGTTGCAACACTTTTTTTTCGATGGGTTTCGGAATACAGCTTGCTCACCGAGCGATTAGTTCTTATTCATCGATCGACAAATAAGAAATCTGATTAGTGATTCTGAAATCCATTAAAGAAAACGTGTTGCAATCTTTTAAGCCTTGACTGTACACTAAGCTGTATAATTAAAAAAATTTTATGACAATTAGACACGAAGAAATTTAAAAAATACAAGACAGACATTTTCTAAGTTCCCATGAATATTTTGTCTCTCAAAAATTTAATTTTCTGAAAATTATAGACAGTACTTTAAGAATTTCATTAAAGAGTATCATGATTCAAGTCAAGTCTAAAATAAGAAAATCACTGATCAAATGATTTATATTGTAATATACCAGGAAGTTTGAAGGTACCGTTGGAATTACATATTTGGTTGTGACAATATTATCACTATATTTAGTTTGCGTATTGGACATGTATTGTATATTTCTTATCAACGTTACTGTACTGCATCAATATTGAAAAGAATCTGAAACTTGGATCGAAAGGTGTGGCTATTATGTTACATTATTGAATAAATTATTATCAATATCCTGTATTTAAAAGACTCTAAAAGACATTTTTATTGTATTAAAATAAAAACACTGTTATCAGTTCTTATGCAATGAAAATCAGATATTTTATATAGTCGGATTCTTATTATTCATATTCAGAAAGTTTAAGACTTTTCAGGCATCATTAAAAACATTTATTTATGATTATTCATTAGAATCCTATGAATACTACAAATTCTAATGAAAATCTAAAAATAAAAAAGCCTCAAAAATAAATCTCGCGCACAAGAATTTCAATGATCTATTCGTCTATGAACAAATGGACTTGCATCGATTAGTCTCAGTACAAGCATTGACAAACATTCCATTTCTTATCAGTACATCAAATTAGGCTGCGTTTAGAAGCGTTATCCGAGTGCATCTATCGTTTTATCCTTGTTGTTCACCCAATGTTAAACAAGGATAAAATGACGAGGATAACATTTCCAAACGCAGTCTATTTGTTTCTGTTCTATATTATGAAACATTCATTCACAATCATTTGTTCTTCTAGCCTGACTTGGATAGTATTTCTTTTTATTCTTTACCATATCCCTAACTTTCAGAGTTACCGTCGTATATACGAGGGTGGTTTCAGAAGTACCCGACCTAACAAAGAAAACACAAAAAATTTGGGAAAAAATATCTTTATTTCTCAACATAGTCTCCTTTTAGCTCGATACACTTTTCCCAGCGATGTGCAATAGCTTCGATGGCCTGTTTATAGTAAGAACCGTTGAACTCCTCAAAATAGCCATTAACCGCAGACTCCACCTCTTCATTATTGGTAAATCTTCTACCACCGAGCCATTTTTTCAAGTTTGGAAAGAGAAAATAATCCGAGGAGGCTAAATCTGGCGAATAGGGTGCGTGGGGAAGCAATTCGAACTTTAACTCAACATCCTCTCGACGCTGCTTTTGTTCGATTGTGAGCAAGCGCGGCACCCACCTTGCACACAGCTTTCTCATCTCCAAATTTTCAGCCAATATGCGATGTACACTTTTTGAAATGTTTACCATGTCTGCTAGCTCGCGCATTTTCAATCGACGATCACCCAATACCATTTTGTGGATTTTCTTCACCATTTCTGGAATAGCCACCTCACTTGGTCGATCACTGCAATGTTCGTCTTCGCAGCTCGTACGGCCTCGTTTAAACTCTGCCACTCAATATTTTACTGTTGTAAACGAAGGAGCAGACTTCTCCAGAGTAGAATCCAGCTCGGCTTTGATATTGGTTGGGCTAAGACCTTTCAAATGAAAGTATTGTATCACATAACGATGACCAATTTTTTTCATCTTTGCAAATTCACCGAGATCGTCCACTATTGATGGCTGCCAAACAAATATTGAACAACGTAGCATTTTCAAACTTCATAGCTAAGTTTTAGAAAGTTGGTGCTTTCCCCTACAGTGATTTTTGTTATACAACAACCGCCATCTGTACGTCAGATCAGGTACTTCTGGGACCCTCGTACATATACATACATGTGAAAGGTAAAAGCACTAGATTCCGATCAGTTGCGAATCACTTTTTATATTTTAATAATTATAATATTTTGCTTTAAATAATACATCCCTACTGAAAAAAATCACAACGTTACATAATGAAATCATGTAATTAAAACATGAAAATCACGTAACGAATTGTTCCAAATCAGTAAGATTTTTTTAAATGACATAATTTAAAAAATCACATGATATCAGAAATAATTTTATCCATTATGTGATTTTATCGTTGTCAAATTTTAAATAATTGAATAATAGATAAAGAAGAAAAAAGAATATCATACAAATAACTTTTCAAATTACGTAATTTTTAAAAATCACGTACTGATTTAGGACAATTCGTTATGTGATTTACGTATTTTAATTACATGATTTCATCGTGCAACTGTGTGACGTAATCTTTTTCAGTAGGGATATCACAAGATTCTTTAGCATTTGTTTTATCTTTTTCAAGTGTCAATTAATTTATCAGAAACAGCGCTACACATTTTATTGATGTCGTTGATTATTTAAATGTACAAGGTTAACTAACGTAGTTTTAAAAAATTCAAAGTGTAATATAATAAGAATTACCTTATGGTTTTTATAGTAGGTAGTAAATAGCATTAGATTTCATGGAAAAAATCAACGTTATGCTTAGTTGAAATTAAATGTGTTCGCATTGTTTAATCACTACGTTATAATGATACTTATTGAGAATACAAGTATTTGAGTTCAGCGCGTTTCTGTACTCGAGTGTACAGACCAATACTTTTATGCGTGACTGTACTGTACTCGACTCAAGCGCGGCTCGGAAAACTTTGACTCTCATCGTAATTAACCGATATCCGTTTAAGTGATCTCTCTCGCAGTCTCTGCTTGAATTCCGAAATGAGAGGACAGCACGCTCGCGGATTAT